AGTCCTGAGACTGAGGAGGCAGAAGGGTAATACACTGTCACCTTCGCCCTCCTCTTGGGCACAGTACACCATTTGGTTTGTCTGGACTTCAGGTTCAGGGTCAATACCTGCTTCTTTCAATCCAAATAAAGTATCACCTCCCCACTTTTCCCTGTGCAAGTTCCTGGGGTAGACTTAAGCTTCTTCATCAAACATGCTCACGCTGGTAACAAATGAGCTAGAAATGCCTCTGACCTGAGATATCAGTTTATCCCACTCTTCTCTCATCTGCTGTTGGCCTTCACTCAGCTCAGCTTCACTTCTTTTTGATGACAACACAGGCAGAAAGGGGTTTTTTTCTTGGTTAAATGCTTCCATAAATGACATCATTTCCTAGGGATAAAAAGGAAGAGTCATTCATAGAAGATGACTTCAGGTGGAAGTTCATGGAGCCAAGTACTGCCTTTGAACACCTTGGTAAGACTTTCATTAACTTCAAAGGGTGTGATGCACAGAAAGGCAAGATAGCAGGAAAGAGGCATACTTGTCTCCAGGCAGTATTTGGGTCTGAAATTATAGGTGCCATTCACTAGCAAAATCTGTATGTAATGTAATGTCAGTGCAATCAGGACGTAGTTCTCCTCTCCCAACACGAGAAAGGGAAAACTCCTCCCCTCACAGTCCTCTATGGGCCATTTTATTGCACACCCTGGCTACAATATAAACCAAAGGAAATTTTACGTTAGGCACAATCTATAGCCAACATTTCAGCCACTCCTCTACATCAGTTGGGTAAAACCTACTGTTATTATTATCACAGAAATGGCAAAGGTGACCCTGTACAGGGCCTATGTACTTGAATCTTGTCCAAGTCTTCAACTATGTCATTAAAAGACACTACTTTACTCTCTCCAAAAAACCTTGCTCTGCTCAGAAACCAAGCAGCATACATCTGTCTCCTAGCAGAAAGAATTTCATTCTATCCTTCCCTCAAACAATTGAGGGCATTTACCAAACTCATTGTCAGATTTCCAACTCTTGTTTAAAAGTTTACTTAACACTTCCGTTTAGGCAATGAAGATGAAAAGCTATGTTTCTGGGATTATTTTCAATATTTATTTCTGCAAAGGCAGTTAAATACGAAATTCAACTTACTTTGCACTTCTGGTAATATGTTTCATTCTCTGTGTCGATCAGCAACTTTGCTAACTTCTTCTCCTGTGCAGCCAACCAGCTCACGGCCTCTCTTACTTTTTCCTGGTAATTAGAGCAGAAAATTTCGTTTTCCATTTTGCAAGCCTTGTTTTTAATTTACATTGTGCCATAAAACAACACACATTGAGCATATGATAAACCCTGTTCAAAGCTATTGAAAAACAAATAATAATTCCTGGGAACTCTAATGAGTTTTGGGTCAGGCACTATTATAAAACAAGGCCAAAGTTTTAAACCTGGCACCTGGATATATGAAGGCACCTTAAAAGAGGAGCCTGATTGCCGTCCGATTGAAAGGAGGTTATCAGTACAGAGATATGTGACTAACCAATTAATACATAAATTCTCATAGGAGAATACAGACAACAGAAAACTTGGTTTTCCAACCAGTATGATCTGTGAGTGACACATTCTGTCCATTTTTACATGTGAGCTATTAAATTTAAAGCTGGGTTGTTCTGTACATTTGCAAATCTGTCTGCCTCTACCCCAATATATACATACAGACTTCAGAGAACACATGAAGACAACCAGGACTGAAAATGTCCTCTGAAACAGTTAAAGGAAAAAACAATACAACCTGCACAGCAATTCCACCTGTATTATCAAAAAGCTATCACACTGAGTCTTGACTACCACACAGGAGCATCAGAAGGTTCAAGCCAATTCAGCCCTGTCAGTAGCTGAATCAGAGGATCTACTATCTAACTGTTACCAAGTTAGGTTATAAACTGGGCAAAGACAGTACTTTCTTGGCATCTGTGATGCACATTCATTTAAAAATGCCTCAGTGACAAGCCACATGACATACCTGCATGTCTTCTCCAGACTCGTGCAAATTCCTGGAATATTGCAAAAACTGAGCCACATAAGTCATGATTGATTTTTCATCCGGATTCATAATGTCAACATCTACAAGAGCCAATACACCATTTACATAATTATGCAGCCTTCTAGGCCTGATCACATAATTACACGCTATACTGCAGTTATTAAAACGTATTACCATAAACATGTTTATTTTGCAGCAGCTCAGTTAACATACCATTGACAGAAATTAATATGTAATGAACATTTTTTTCCTGGGAATATTTTAATAAAGCATGATTAACTAATAAAAAAGTTTCTCCTGTGAACGGGAAAGTTCTATATCCTTTCTTCTGCATACTGTTCCTGCATTTGCTGTCAATTCAAAAATTCTACAAATCCTATGTACAGTCAGTGTTATAAAATCAGGTTTGAGCATTACAGTAAAGATCAATGTTCCATTTCAAAGTTACGCACAGTCTTAGTTTCTCCTGTATTACAAGTCAACACATACAGGATTACATTAATCTCACTCCTGATAACAAAGATAAAAAAACCCCACAGATCATTTACCTTCAGGTTCAAGAAGCCGTGGAATATTCAGCTCCAGTTCTGCAATTCTAAAAGCCTCTTTCAGGTTTTCTTTATTGCTTCTAGCTTTTGCCTTCTCCATATCAACTAGACCTGGTCGTAAGGTTTGGATGATGGCTAAAAAAGGCAATCCGCTTCGCCAGCTTGACTTGAAATCAGTCACATTGATAGAGCCATGCCTATCAAATCCAAAATGATCAGAAACAAAATGTTATAGCCTTTTTGCTCAGATGTCCTAGGTACAGATTTGGAAATAAAATATAAATTCAATAAAATGGAGTATGAACCAAATCCAAGGAGTTGTAGAGAACCTTGCCACTGAACTTCTGCAGAAGCCAGGCCAGACAACAGCACAAGCCAGCACTACCAATTGCTACAATTACATGTTTTTATACTATTTTTGCAGAACGACTCAATGTTTTTATCTTATGCTGCATTCTGAAGATAAAGCCTTGCTGATCCAATATCCTTTCTGAACATCACCTTTGTGCTCAAGATGATGCATTCTATGGGATGGAAAACCAACAAGCAAAGCACTGAAGAACATGTAGGTATTTGTCTGTAAGGGCACCAAGTATTGGAATCACCTCTGGCATTTTACAAAATCCAGACCTTAAAAGTGACCTATTACTGCAGAAAAAAAATACTTCTTTTTCTCTTATTTAGCTTAGTGTCTGTAAAATATCTTCTATTAAGCAGTGCCTGGACAGTGTTGCGAGGTGCCCAGCTCTGCAAGCTACAGTGAATTCTGGGACAATTTGCCAGAAACAGCCTGTATATTATGAGTATGTTACAGCATGGAAAAGATGTAGTGTTTCAGATGATCAAATTTAGTTACAAAACAATGGTCCAGGACTTACAAGATTTGTTCTTTTACTGAAAACTATAGGATTCGCTGATAACAAAATCATTCAGTGTAATCACAGTTCAGAAAGGATGCTACAAAACAGACAGCAATACCGCTGAAAAAGAAAAACAAGCAAAAAAAAGAGGAAGATTAAATGGACAGAGAGCTGGTTTTTACATGCCAATCAATCTTGTCCTGATAAAACACAGCTAAAAGGGAGACTTCAGTGCTTAAAAACATTCTCCCAGCAGAAAGTGTCTGATGTGCTGATGAAGGCCCTTATCTCCCACTAACAACATGGAATATTAGTAAGATGTTATTAGAACACAAAGCAACCAAAGAGCTAGAGAGAAAGGGCTGACATTATTATAAAACATATTTGAAATGTCTTGGAATGAAGCAGTAGCCCTTGAAGAAAATTTAAAGCTTGCCCCTTGTAAGAAATACTTGTATCTGCTCTAGACCGTGTGCTGTGAATACTTCCATTGCAATCAACAGGGCTATCTGTACGTCAAGCATAAGCAAACATGTTGTTAGAACTGGGGGCTAAGGACATCTAAGACTAGGGTCCTTCTTGGGGATCATGCAGTGTTTTGACAGAAAAACACAAGATGTGGGAATCATAGAAATCCTACATTTTCCATCAAAAAAAAAAATTTATTATTGAAACTTTGTTAACCATTGCCAACCATGAGGATTAAAACTAGTAAATCATGTAAACAGTTCACTAGCCTTATCACACAGAAGTCCATAAAAGAGAAAAGCCAAACAACACAATTTACATTGTGGTATTTAATTAGTAGGCGTAGCTCCACGTTATTATATTTAAAGAGCTCATGTCAAAACATTTAGGGCCTGATTGATGCTACAAGTACTGGTAACAACATCTGAAATCTAAAGGATTTTCTGCTAAGCTGTCACTAAGTAATGTTAAAAAACAGGGGAAAATATCACATTTAGAGGAAAGCAGTAAATACAATGTGTAACACACTATTTATAAATCTTGGATGGAACTTACAGTGAACATTGTTCTTTTGCCCACAACAAAAGAGCCTTTGTAGCAGAGATCTTCCACCGTTCCTTAATTTTAGCACTCTTCTTAGCTGATCGGCTTGCCTTTGGAAAGGAGTCAACAGCAGTTGAACAATCACGTGAAGGCTGATTGTAAGTGCAAGCAAGTGTCCTGGCAAGTTCTTCAATCTATCAGAGATGATGGGAAAGTAAATCAGGCTTCAATGAAAAATTACCAAGACATCAATAGCAGAAAACCACAGAGATTTAGAAAGGACTCGATCACAACTGTAATAGTAGTTCCCTGCCCCGAAAGATCAGATCAGGATTTTTCATCAGTTCATTCAGAACTATTTCATGCTGAATTCCCATCTTTAGGTGACTTTTTGGCAGGAAGTATTCACCCAGAGACTTCCATGTTATACTGTGGGTGCCAGCAATGGCATCAAGGGACCTTCTCACTCAATGCACTTTTCTACTCCTCCTACCAGTGAAAGCAGCCCATGGCAGCTCTGTTTTCTGCTGTCAACAGTGCCACGTATTAGGCATCCTCAAAGTTTGCCTGCTCACTCAGGGGGCAGGAAAACCTACTCAATAGGCCTCAGAAATCTACATTTGGTTAGAGAAGCTTGATTTAGGTAAAAAGATAATGCATAGGCTATGTGCAGCACAAGAAGCTTCAGCACCAAAGTACCTTTCCCAAGAAAAACGTGGGCTACAATACTGTTAAATAGCTTTGCTTCTTAATGCTCTCCTGAGCCCCAGTCACTAGTTCACCCCCAGTGCACCTATGTTAATTCACCGCTGGCTCTTGCCAGAAGATAGTTTGGCTCCATCATCATCTACAGTCCTACAACATGATTAAAGCAAGGCCCTGTGCTTTCAAACCTCCCCATAATCTCATGCCATGCAAGATGCATGCTCAGTGTCTTGTATAAGAAACATCACTACAACATCCTTCATGCTATTTCAGGCACCTGGTACTGAAAAAAAATAACAGCAAGAATTTCACATTGTGAGCACAGCCAACACTGAAGACGGGGACTGCCCCTGAGGGAGACAGACATGAGCCACTTTGCACTATTTGTTCTATCTGGAGCTTAATCATTACAGGCCTTAGACAGATAGGCAGAGTTTAGCCTATTTTTTAACTGGTTACTTTTAAAAAAATCTCAATATCTTTCCTTCCTACCATTTGCAGCTAGATACTGTTCATCAGGCTGCAATGCCATCACCGCAGTGGTGAAGCAGCTCAGACACAGGCAAGACACACTGGTGCATCTCCTCCCTGAGCCATCACTTCCAGATGTCAGAAAATTATCTTCTGCTTTGTACAAATTCATCTTGTTTTGCAACCACGTAAGTCAACACAGTTTTGTGCTTTTCCTTCTACTAAAAGTCTCTTACATTGCTGAAATACTTACATGAAAATGAAATATAATTGTCCAAATTAGGCCAAGCACAATGGAAGGTTTTCCTTCAATAATGTCAGCAACATGAATATTTATGAGCTTGAGCTAGGGGAAAAAAAAAAGGATCATTGTTAACAAAGAAAATGTTCCACCAGCTAAACTGGCTTTAGTTGTGAATTTTGAAGTTAATACTCACTGATCTGTTCTTTAAAAATGTCAAAGCATTTTCTATGTTGCTTCTGCACTGGAAGGTATTCAATCCTTTTTCTCGTGGCTGTGAAGTAGAAAGAACAGGTTATATCCTCAGTTATAAAAATTAATTTTATTTTATATTTTGGTAAGGGAAGTCCTGCAAAGATTCACAAATTACTTCAGATCAACTTATTTCAGTGTCAGTGGTGTAAGGATAAGTTACTTGCAAAATTCTCTGACTCCAGAGAGATCATTCGTATGCTTACAGTTAAACATATCCAGAAATCTTTGCTGGATTTGACAAAGGATTGAGGTAACATTTTTATTACTCTGTCTTACCAGATGTTGACCTGAAAGCACTTCCAACAGATCCAAAAGCAAATGTCCTTGCTGTATGTCTGTATAGAGGTCTGTGATAACAGAAGGAGGTGTACGCTGCAAAATAAATTTCAGTGCTTGTCACACCATCTTTTGTCATTTTTAATTCAACACACTACAAAATATCACAGATTACTCTGTTAAATGTTTAGCACCCTTTTTTTCAATAAGCTGAAATATAAATCGTGCACCTAATCAGCCATATCCTGCTTCTTCTAACCTAGTATTACGTTTGTCTCTTATTCCCCCTTGCCCTGCCTCTGAGTTTTGTAAGGGTAATTTTAGCTCTCATTTTTAAGTATTTATATTTTTCAAGAAAGTATGTGGCAAAGAAACCAAAAACTTTGAAAAAGGGAAAGTTAACAGAAGCACTTAATTCATATTTTGACTTCTTAATCAATGTATCCTGAGTACAAATTTGACTATAAAGCTGAATAACTAAACCCTCACCCTTTTCACCCACTTGTGGACAACACAAACCTACCATGAGCTTGGCAGCTTCTGTTCAAGGAGGGACCAAAACAGGATTATTTTTCTACTTGAGCAAGCAAAATCCCAGCACAGGCTGTACGAGCTGCTTTGTGAAAGCTTAAAGAGCACCTACACTACTATGTTGTTTGTCTTAATACTTACCAGTCACTCAGGTCATCCCATTAAACTCATGTTCTTGGATTGCATGACAGAATAATACTTTAACACAGTAAAACTAATCATAAATACAGAACCCCATAAAACCTTAAGACATGTGCCACAATCCAGCACAAGTACGTTCTACCACATCAGCAAGATAGTCATCTACTTACAAACCATCTCTTACAAATTTCCTTGGATGATGACCAATACAATGCTGTTACACCTATTAAACAAATACTTTCCAGGGGCTACTTTTTCCAGCCAGTACCTAAAATCTTATATTAATTTTGTTTATTCCTAAAAAATTTAATCTCCATACAGCACATCCAAATCAAAAAGGCAAAAGGCACGTCTTTTCTAAAGAATCCCCTTCTTACCTTTGCCAATATTGAATTTATCCAGCTAGTGAAGGTTTTCTTCTGTGTAAACTCTCGCTGCTCTGGGAAAAGAAAAGACAAAAAATGGTTAATGGAAAAAATTATCTGGTTTTATTTCTCTTTCTCAAAAAGATACATGGCATCCATCTCAAACCTAAAGTCCATTCTTCCAGGTATTAAGATACAGTTTAACATTAGTTTTTCTCAACTCTTATTTTAGAGCTGACATTTTCTTGCTTGCAGAGAAGATACTGCAAGGACCTCCACAACCATCAAGCATACTTCTACTGGATGCACCAAAGAGAACTAATGAAGGTTTTCTCAAAAACTCAGCAAATGCAAACAGCAGTGTGAACACATCATCCTACAGAACAAGACATCTAGAAAAACTCCATCCATTCCTAAATGTTCCTTGAAAGACTCAGGGCCAGTGGCAGTACAAGATCCATCTTGAAATTTGGGAAAAGCCATGCATGGAGTTGGGTGATGAGACCAGGATGGAGGCTGGGGTTAGGTGATAAATGCAAATCTGTGGGTGAAGCCATACAACGGGATGTCTAGGTTAACTGAAGGGCTGGGGAGAGTTATTAGGCTGTCATCAGGGAATATACCCTCTAACAGCATCCTTTTCAGTCCTGGGCCCTCCCTGGGATATGCAAACCATTAATCTGGCCAAAAAGGGGCACACTGGGTCTTAAAATAGGAGGGAGGAAGAAGGAAGTGCTTGAACTCGTGCCCCAGGAAAAAACAGTGAAATGGGACTCAAAGCATGACCTGGTCATGCAGGGACCCAGCTCTTCAGCCAGGTCCTTCAGGCTGGTATGCAGTGATAAACTACCAGCAGTTGTGAAGGGAGGTAGGAAGTTGCTTAAGCCCATGTTTCAAAAATCAGAATATTTAAACTGTTTCTCGCACCAGAGTAGAGATCAAGAGAGGGGAAAGCCTTTCTCTGCAGCTTGTGTATAGCAGAGATGAAGGAAAGTCTAGTTCCCCCAAAAAGCGAAGCAGAGCGTGAGCAGCAGAGGCAAACCAGACCAGCATCCCAGCCCCATCCCTAGTCACAGCCAGTTGATCATGGGACTCCTCAGCCCATGCTCCCTCCCAAAAACCCACCCCATTCCCAAGAAACCACCACCAAACCCATACATCCCTGCTGGACATCTGTATACAGGTCTGAGGTAACAGCAGGAGGGGTTGGCCCCCAAGATGACGGCCTTTCAGGCCTCCCCGCTGCGCAGGCGCTCCATCCCAATGGCTTGTGGGACCAGGCATGAACACCGACTCCTTCTTCTCTCCCTTTCCACATCAGCTTTGACTGCAAGCGTTGGGGTTGGCTTCCCAAAAAACCAGCCAAAAAGCGGTACCACCCTCCAAGGGGCCTGCCTGGAGCTGTGGAACAGCAGTCATCCCCTCCTTCTTCCCCATTGGAATAAAAACCCAAAAGGCTGCGCTGCTTTTTAATAGCCTGGACATTACAAAGCAAGTCAAATAGGCTATTAACTGAGGGAAAATCAAACAGACTCAGGTCAAGCAGACTATTAACTGATGACAGTGTTAGGAGGGTTGATGTTTTGGGCACCCAAAGCACCACCTTTGGCCTGCTCCAGCAAGGCGGCTGTCCCAGCCCTTCCCTCCGAGGGCTGAGGCAGCTGCCAGCCCCTCTGTGCCTGGCTACAGACAGCCACCCCAGGGGCCGGCCTGCAAGGCTCCTGCCTCTCCTGCCAGCTTGCCTCTCACCCCAGGCAGCAGGGAGGCAAAGGCTGAGCGGCAGGAGAGGTACAGAGCAGAGGGGAAGCGCAAGGCCCTCTCCCTGCTGCGCCCACTGGCAGGAGGGGCTGATCCCAGCAGCCAGGAGCAGAGGATGGGGCTTTGGGCACAGCGGTCATGGTGACGCAGAGGCTCGGAGCTCCTGCATACGGGCATGCAGATGGGATGGGATGCTGGCCCACCGCCCTGCCAGGAGGACAGGAGAGGACAGCGTGTGTCCTGCGCCATGGCCCCGGTGCAGCTCCCTGGGGAGCAGCGGGTGGTAGGGCAGTGTGCATGGCCCAGGCCTGGAGGGAGATGGCGGGCAAAGCAGCTGAGGGGGGCTCGCTGCCCACTTCCCAGCTGGGGTAAATCCCCACAGGAGAGGCAGCGGGAGGCTCTGACCAGGCCATCAGCTTGCAAGGAGAAACAAATGCGGGAGATGGGGTGGGAGGGGACGATCTCTTCTGCCTCTGAAAGCATGCTCTTGCACACAAGATTAATGCGAAGGCAAGTCTGACAGCATAAGGCAAGTGCAAGACTACTCAGCAATAGATATGTATGTTTCTGTAGGCTGGGCAGGATGAAAGATACCAAAAATATCAAGCCTTTGGGGAAAAAAAGAAAAAATCCTGACTGCTCTGACTATGGAAATGAAAATACCACTCAGAGGAAAATGTCCCACACTTCATTACACTCTGGTAATTTGGCAAACACAAACCCCAGTCCTGGGTGGCTTTTCATCATCCAAGACGGCCTGAAGGGTTTGCCGCGCAGAACTTCATCAGCTCGCGAAGCGGAGCAAGCTGCTTAAGGATAACGCAGCCTCCTGCCCCTAACCCCACCATCCGACCCACAGACCTCCTTCTGCTTCGCCAGGCGGGCGGGCGGCGAGAAAAACATTCACGCACTGCATGCGTGGAGGGCTGGTTTGCATCCTGTCTTTCAACAGTCCTCCTCTAATCTGCAACACTGTGATCCTGCCAGAGCACGAAACAGCCAATTTCCCCTGCTTGCTGGATTGTTTTATGCTTCTTTTTAAATATCACAGAGATCACAATGAACACTAAGATAAGGGCAGTCAAGACATGGGCAAAAACGCAATCTCAAAATTCTGTTTTGTTTGAAAAACAGAAAATAAGTGCAAACATGCCACACAGACTAATCAATGTCGCAATGTCTGCAAGGAGGACATAAATAGCATGGAGATACTGGCTTCATGTTAGCACAGGACCCAACCACACCCTCCGGTTGAATACCCACGTGGGAGCCATTCCAATTGCCTAACGAGCGATTATTGAGTAGCTGTGCTCAATTTTATCAGACAGGCATGGCTGGTAGCGCTGGCACTTGAAAAGAGACGAAAAGCAAATATTAACTACTCTGCCTGACGCCAGTGACTCTTCCAGCTGCAGCTCTTGCCAAACCCACACTACTGCTACTGATTTGGAGAACGTGCTTTTGGGGTTGGTTACAGAAAGATGGTTAGGATGAGGACATTGGGTCTTGTTTTGGTTGAATCTCTCCACACTAATGCGCAGAAGAAGCATTACGCAATGTGGACCAGATACTGCAAGTGTTGATTCACGTGGGCAGCTCTCAGGCAAATGTCTCACCTGGCGAAAGCACAAAGCGGTTATTTCACTGCACACACCTAAGCAGACCTTAAACCCTCCCCAAGCTACAGCCACTGCCTAGTGCGACCCACCGGGCTGCCTTCCAAGCAGCCGCAGCTTCAGCTGCAATGTGGCTTGTTTGCCTACCCAAATAAATAATAATAATAATTAAAGAATCTCATTGTGAATCAATAACAAAACTCCATGCCTGCCAATATCTCCCCAGACTGTAGCGCAGCAGTCGCTCTGCTTCCATCCAGGCCACACAACACACAGCTCAGTACAGATGTGCTTCTGGCACCGTGGCAGGCAGTCGCATTTCAATTTTCAGGCCAAATGTGTTTTCCCTCCCAGCTCCCCCCTTACTCTACTGCTCAGAGGCGCTAATGATTTAATCAAGCTCTCAAATTCTTATCTCTACCACGTGGTTAATTAATACGGATTTTTATTTTTATGAGGATGAATGGATTCTTTGTTAGGCCTTTTTATAGGACTCTAAGTGACCTTGGTTTTCTCTTGCCCTAGTTTTCAAAATGTCACTGACCCAGAATAAAAAAGCTATCAGAAAAAACCTGATTATTTTCTTTACTTTGGGCCAAAACTCACCGAGCCAAAAAGTGGATCTGAGAGAACAAAATCAGAACCTGCTAATCTGAAAACACCCAAAATCTATCACATTTCACCCTGTGTTTTAAAGCTAAATCTTCAGAACAACTCTTTGGGGAGGAAAAACACATAGAAGCAGCGTGTCACGTAGGCTAGCTGAAAATCAATACACACTGCTGGACAATGACTGTTTTATCCAGTAATGAGCTATCAACAAGTGCTACAAAGCGGACTAATCATTAAGGGCTGGAGCATGGGGACACGGCAGGGATCATGGCAGTGCCGAATTCTCCCAGGAGGAAGAGGAGGGGAGGGCAGGAGCACCCCCAGCCATGGTTTCACTCCCAGCCTTCCTTTAAAGGCGATACAGAAAAGCCAGACTTAAAATTAATCTCCTCTCTTCTGTTGCCTTCCGTGTCTCCCTTCCCAAGGTCGGAGACAGCAGCTCACAGGGAAGCGCCGTCCCCTCCCTCGGCAGGGAGCTGGGGAAGCAAACTGCGGCGGAGCAGATGTACCCTGTCTGTCCACGCTCATCAAACAACGTCACCAAACAGCAAAGAGGTTTTTTTCTATCGCGAGGACCAGTGCATCACTGCCAGTGAACCATTTACAACTGTGTGGCTTTTTTCTTTTTTTAAAAAAACCCGAAATTTAAGCAGTTATTTGAAATTAATGAGCGCAAGCCTGTCTGTCACCTTCCCATCTCTGTTTCGCCAGAAGGAATTACGTCTCGTGTAGGATATTTTTATGTCTTCCTTTCACCATTCAGGTCAGCTGAGGCTACGTCTACAGTAGCAAGCACTGCAGCCGAACAGGAACAGATCAGATCAAAAGAGCTGGTGTTCAGGATGTGGCGTATCCACCACGTGTGCAGGGAAGAAAGGCTGCATCGGACCAGCTCTACCCTGAATGTCCACAGCCAGCCAGGGTACCTTCTTGGAGCATTTATTTCAGTTTCATTCAAAATAACCATTTCTACCCTCCCTCGCAGCTCAGCAAAATGAACCAAAGGATGGTCAGCCAGGGTAACTGGGAGAGCTCCTTCAAGACAGCACTGCTGATACGAACTAAAACACCCAGCAGGTACATGCTGT